AATTGTGCATGGTACTGCGAGCTGGTAGGCAACATAACCTGCTTAATTCCAGAAGTCTGCTTTCGATGGCAAATGATTTTGTAAAACCTTAACGTGTAATCACTACCACTGGAAGCCAAATGGGAAACAATAAACCATTAGTGTAATAGCACGTTACAAACGGCTATTTTTATAAATAATACATTGCAATTGTGTGTTTATAGCTCAATATGACACCAGAAAAAGGTGCTTCAGGCCCTTACAGTTTATACTTGCCGCTGCTGCCGCAGATTGGAAAGACACCTCCATGCGAACCGAGATAGATGCCAATTTTCCCTGCAGAGAATGAAGCTGGCAACCCCTTTTTGCACATATGGTAGATGGATTGGTTAATCAGCCTCTGCTGAGCCCTGGGCCTGAAATTACCCAGCAGCCAGACCACTGCAGCGACCCAGCTTTTGTTCGGTTACGCAAACAAGGCAAACAAACAATCACTTGTTGTTTGAGTGGAAAAAAAAATTAAACTTTTTTTTTTATTGGAGTGCTGATGGCCTGATAAAACAGCTATACAAATCCATTAAGTTTTCATTATGTTTCTAAAGGAGGTTTTCACTTTGTGTACTAAGGAAAAAAAAAAATTTATTATGTGTGTTTCACCAGAAAGTTGCATATAATACTAAAAATCAAAGATCTCGCTTCTTCTAGACTCATCTTAGCTTAAAGCCAAAATACCTCCAGCAGGCCAGTTCTCATTTCTCAGAGCGTATTTCTGAAGACTACAGCTTCCTGGAAACTTTGAGTAATGGTCAAACATCCAGAGTGAGGTGCCATTTCAGCATCGCAGGGATCTCGGCATTTTCGTACTTGCCACGGCATTTTTTTTTTGAAGACTAGTACTTAGATTTTTTTTTCAGAACTTGACAATATTTAGTGCTCATAATTGCTGCAAATATTACATACCATATACTGTACTAGATACGGTTTATATGCTATATAATTGCTTCCGTGATCATTTTCGTGGGAAAATAAAATATACTTCTCAGTTTGAGCACCATTTTTTTGGTGCAGTGTCTGGTGATTAGACAACCATTATGGCTAGCCAAATCCAGATGTTACTTTAGCTGCTTTTTAAGTTAAAGAAAAACTAAACTTTTCTGGAGGTGTGTAGTTAAAAGTTATGTGGTTTTTATTTACTGTAACAGATTTTTCCTGAAACAATGGGGCATTATTTGGTCCATACATATAATCCTAATGTTCTTGCAAGTCACAGGTAGCAAAAGAATTATAACATCTAATGTAGAGGTCCTAATATGCAAAATGCAAGGGAAAAGAAAAAAGGATCTAATTTTCGGTGGAATAGTTCCTTTATGCTTTTCTGTTATGCACAACCAGAGATGGAACACTAACGTTTATGTTTCAGAAACTGTTTTCTTCAGTTTTTTGTCCTCACCTAAAGTCAGGTGCTCAACTTTTACGTATGTGTGACACTGCTTTTATATTTCAGGCTGGTGACACTGCAGTAGGATTCATGAGCTTATGTTCTCAAGTAAATGTTTCCTTGTTTCAAGAGTGCTTTGATTTAGAGCCTTTCCATGGACTCTGTAAGCCACATCCTGAAGATACTCTCAAAATGCCACAGAAGCCAAGCGTGCAAGAAGGTATCTAGATTCTAAAATGCTAGATAGATTCAAGGTGCGTTTATTTCTAGCTTCTGAGCAGGTTTTGCAGAAGGTTGGAAGAGGATATAGGTTTATTGGCAAGAAAACACTCATTAATGTGTCTGGTTTGGAGATGGTTGCCTGGTGGTTTTTATTCAAGAGAGAAATTTTGATGGCCCTGGTCTCTGGCTCGGAAGTGATTGTTGGTTATGGGGTAAATGTAGGTGTCAAGTTTCAGAAAGCTGAAGCATCAGGTATGTTTTCTGTCAGTGAGCTACACAGTTGTACCGTTAATTGGAGACTTAATTTTGAAATCTGGTTCTGATGGCTGTCAGTAGAGAAGCAGCTGGGTAACTGTGGCTGTTGTGCTATTGACTTGTGTCGTCTTGTTTCCTTGGGGTCCAGCTTCTGCTCTCTTTGCTTATTGTTCACAGTCTTCTAGGATACAACATTTTGGGAGATCAGGGACTGTCTCTTTATTCTGTAATGTTTCTTTTTTTTTTTAAATTAAGAAAGGAAAGGAAACACCTCACTGTTCTTAAACTTCTTTATTTAAAGAAGTTTAAAGCAACAAAAAACTCCAACCAACTCATAAGCACAGTTTCCCTCCTCTCTGACTTTTTCTTGTTATTAAAAATGTAATTTGAAAAGAGAAATAATCTTTTTTTTTTCTTTTTTGTAAATGTAAGAGTTGCATCCCAGCAGTCCATTGTTAAGCCTTTCCAATATGTAAGGGCCAACTATATGCTTGGAATTTGTTGTAGTGTCAGTCACATAGAGTTTATATTTTATTATATTGCATAATACATATGCAAACAGTAAAAATACTGTTTTAATGATTGCACCATTTCTGCAGGCTACTGTATTGGAAATTTGCTGCCAAATTGTCCCTTGATGTGGAGGCAAGGAAGGTTCACTAAACACCTCACATCAACAGAGGATGTGGACTTTCTTTTAATGGATTTGAAGGCTGAGAATTTAAAATGCAGGCTGCATTCCTTTGTAGAGTAATTTTATGTTCCCATAAAAAAAACCCACCACCACAACACCAAACAAAACAAAAAACCCAAACAACACCACATATTTTTTCAAGCTCTTTAGCTTGTAGTGGGAGACCACAGGTTGATATTATTTTCCCTTTCAAAATGTAGTACTGAATAATAATGAAAGAGTACACAAAAATCTGTCTTTAACACAATATTGATATGCCACTTACGTTTCGGGGTAATTACAGTAATTTGGTTGTTGCTCTATATGGTGTCAGGAATTAGTAGCTGGGAAACATTATGATGCGGTGGGAATGACTCAAGGGCTTTTCATCAGGCTCCGTGGTGAACTGGCGTCCTGATCCTGCTGCCTGCTCCCTCTGCTAACAGCCCAGCAATCACTGGGTTAGTTTAATTTTCTCTTTGTTCATGTTCCTCGTTTCGTTGGTGCAACAATAGGTGTGTTCTTCCCAGCCACTTGTGCGCAGCCCGCGTGCGGACAGCGACGCAGCTCCCTTTGACAGCAGCGGGTGGTGGAGCCATTAAGGGATTTCATTTCAGCCTAGAGTCGGAAACAACATATCAATATTTACATGACAACACGAGATTTGTATTAATTAACTTCTGACACCTGCAAGGCTGTTTATAATGAGAAATGTGGCTGGGTTAATCAAGTCGACATTTGAGCGTTTCTGTGAAGTCTCACATCTGTCATACCCCTGGAGAAACCGTGATTTCCAGCCCCGTGTCTCTTCGTGCCCTGTACGCTGCAGCTACGTTCCTTGCTACTAACAGAAGGACAGATTTTCAGATAACACATTTTTAAAAATGCTTTTGACTGAATTATTTTAAACCTTTGAGGTTTGGTGGTGTTTTTTTTTTTTTTTTTAAAAAAAAAAGCTCATTACTGTATGAAGAAATGCTTATGTCGGTGAATGTACCTGAGATGGATTTCCCAAAGTAAGCTCAGAGAGAGGAGTGAAGAATTCTGTTGTGTCAGGTTTTCTGAAGGTTTTTTCTTCTTTTGGAGCTCAGAAACTTTGAGTTCCTTGTGTTACTGAAGCTTTCAAATGCAAGGACGTCCCAGCCTGATGTGTTTTCTGCAGCAGCAATACCAACACCTCAGGAGTTTATTAGTTAAAACTTGTTTTCAGGCTTTATTTTTAAATACAAAAACTGTGAACATATCTGTAAAATTAGGCAGGTGACAGCTTAAGGAATGGCAGAACTATTGAAGATATGTTCAGGGGCTAAAAATACAGCAGCTGACACTTTGCTTTAGTAATTTTAGTGGTTATTTGGAGTAATGTGTAGGATTCACTCGTATCTCAATGTTTCTTTTCTGAGTTGATGATTAAAATAATGTTGGTCTGTAATGTTAACTTTAAATGCGACCTTTGTGACGCGTTGTCAGATGATCTCTCATTCTGGGCACCCTCACTTTCCATTGACTTTAAAGAAAATAACCCATCACCATACAGATTTAGGAACGGCTTTTCCCAAAGTGTATCGTATCTGCTGGAATGACGACTGCCTGCTGCCTAGCAGGCATCACGACGTTATCAAAGTTCATAGTTGATTCTGCCATCAGTAGAGTTCTATAGAGCTGTTCTGTGTTGCTGTTTAAAGATGCCAAGATCTGTCTTAAAATAGCGATTAGGTAATTGAAATCATAGTGCGTCATGTATGTTCCAAATTGGCTTTCGTCATTTTTTTATGTGGTTTCTTAATATTTTAAGTATCCACTCTGGGTTTGGCCCTGGCCAGGGGATTGAATAACAAAAAAAATATGTACAGCGATATTTAAATACGCTCTGTAACATACAGATGCTTTCTTTGATTGGCTTAAGCACGTGGCCAGAGATGCTGTATGTGTATGCTGTGTGTGCATACGATATATGTAAGTATATACATAGCATCATATATGTGTCTATTATGGCAATCAGTGTTTAAATAGCATTTTATCAGATTGCTACAAGGAACTTCATCCTATTGCCTTAGCTATCTGATTGCCCACAAAAATATTATTACTCAGGTTGGACTGAAGTAGACTAGAAAGTTACTCTAGTGTTGTAGAGGACGGTAGGATGACCTGTCCTGCAGATTTAAACCAGGCTTCTGTTGCTTTGATTGGAAAGTAACAATTTCTTTTTCATGGAGCCCTTTTATTCTTTTTTTATGCTGCTGATGTCTAAAAGCTGACCAAAGCCTGTGGTCACTGCTGCTGTGGGCATTCCTTGTGTGGTTCAACAAGTGTCTATGTTTTTTGCGTTAAAAAATCTTGGACGCGCACGCACACACAAAATTGCAGTGCTTGACAAGGTGCTTTGAAGCAGTTACTTCAGCATCCAAGCAAAGTGGCAGAGGAGAGAAGGTTTTAAAGGAAGAGGAGGAAATAGACAAACTCACAAAGATTGATGAAAGAACAACCACCTTTCAGAAGAAGTAAAAATAGGGTTTAGAAACCTAGTTAGATTTAGCAACTGAGAGGGGAATTTAAATCCCTTTTTCTTGTCCCTGCGTGCACCAGTGAGCAAGGGTTTTGGCCTGACTAGGATTTATTCTGAATTTCAGTTCTTTTAGGAGATCTAATCTGAGAATCAAGAGTCCTTGCTCATCCTTGTGATCATCAGAAAACAAGTTAGCAACAGGCACAGGATTTAACATACCAGTCAATACAGTAATGACTCATGTTTTTCTCTTCAGATACAGTAAAAATTTATTACATGTAATACACAAGTTAGGAATTGCTTCTTTTTTTTTTACAACCAATTCTCTGATATTTGCCTTGAAATCAAATAGTCTAATGAAGCTCTAGCCAAGTAACTATAGGAGGGTCTATTTTAACTGTGGCTGTTCAAAATAAGTAAACCAAACCTTTCAGCAGAGCCAGTCTGGCATGCTCTAGTTATTGCAGTGATTATGAGAGCTAAGCTCACATTTTTAAGCCTGATGCATTTATGCTTTTTCATTATTTAGGTGAAGATAAAAGCAACCAACTAAGTCAAGAAGTAGAGTCTGTTTCATCTCGACACTTTGAACATGTTCATGATCAGGATGCAGCTGTGCAGGTAATATCTCTGTACGCAGCAATGCTGGGAGCTGTACAAGCCAATATGAAGCAAAGGTGGAGGCTGCTAGGACAAGCAATGCTGATTATTTCCACTCCTGCACCGTCCTCTGCATGGGCCCAGGCTTACGTCTGCTGTTGTGCGTAGATGAGCAGCTGTTCTAGCTGGGATCTGGATGGAGGTGGTCAGAGTTACTAGTGGGATGAGTTTTCCTCTTCAGTTCCATGTGAACAGCCAGACAGCACAGGGATGGGAATGAAGTGGCACTGAGAGAAGAAAAAGGATGGGAGCCTGTCTGTGGGGGTCTGCTGCTGAATAAAGACATGTGGAAGCACAGCTTTGAGTGGGCTCCTCTGCAGATGTGGAGAGAGCATTCCTGTAGCAGACAGGGCAAGAGTTGTCTTACTCTGAGGATGTGTGAGATTTTGACTTGGCTGGGTTACTGAGCTAAATATCTGCTACTGACGACAAGCTAACAAAGCTGAAAAGCAGCAAGACAGCTTCAGTTTTCCCCTGGGGTTTGCAGAAGTTACAGGGCACACGGTCTATCCGTGCCTCTGCTGCTGAGCGAAGCTCAGCTTGGTAAAAGCCCATTACTGTCAAATGTACTGGTGCAGCATGAATCAGCAGAGAATTTATCCTGAGAAATTTTAAATGATCGCGTCTGTCTTTTAGAGTCTCTCTCTCAGTACTGTCTCAAAGCTACTCTGCTTTGCTTTGCATTATTGTTCCTTTCCATTTCCTCAATATTCCCTGCATTGATCCCGTTTTCTTTAACATAACGTGTTTTTAACTTTCACATATTTTCAGTACGCATCTGGAAACAAAACTTTTTCCACAGAAACATTTCTGAAATAGAAGTATTTTTATTTCCTAACAAAGGGCCGCTAATGGTAGCTATTAGTTTGTGAATATATTGCGCTCTCAGCAATAATGTGTATGTTTTTAAAGGCCATCTAGTGTTTCAGAAACAGATAGATATCACATTAAAAATACCTCCTTGAGCTTCTGTATTTGTCAAAACGTGGCACATAAAAAGTACAATATCCTGTGTGTCTGCCTGGAATGCTATAAGACAGGAATGATGCAAGACTTTTAATTAAAAGATGAAAGTATTTTCTGAAACATTCCAAGTGATCACTTGTCTATGATTATTGCAGAAAGATGGAGCCATTACCATCTCCCACCCTGAACTGCTGTTAGGTGATGTGGGAGTCCAAGATCTCAAAGCCTCAGAAGCACTTCTTGAGACTGAAGACCAAGGTGCTTTTCCTCAAGTGTACAGAGGAGCTTCAAATGCTTTCTGTATCCGTCTGTTTTGTATTGATGAGAAGTATGAAACTAGGTAAGTACGGATGAATAGTTCCTGCTTTTCCAAGCTTAATTTTCAGTGTTACCTTTTTAGGACATATCCGAAAGTGACAGCACCTGCTGCAGTTAGGTTGGATTTTTTCTTACCTCTTTTTTTTGCCTTCGCCAATAACTTACTGAAACTTTCAACCTCCAGCTGCAACTTCCCATCTCCAGTAGGACTATGGGAACAAAAAGTTAAGAATTTATGGTTATGGGAGAAATGCTAGTTGAAATGGTGGAAGATGGCCACTTCTTTCTCTGAAGAAACATTAATTCCAAAGCTGGCTAACTGCCAGAAGAGCTAGATGTTATGGTACTGGTCATCTCATTTCATGGGGCAATAAAGCTGGTTTTAATTCTGCAGCTAAATGCTCTCATTTCTAAACACTCAGTCTTCCATCACTGAGAGAATTGATTCTGATTTCTAGCATCCACTACAGTAGGGGGAAGAAAAAAGCTTTTTATCT